GAAGAGTCCTCTCCAATTTAACAATCACACTCCGTAATGGTTCAGTTACATATGTGCTGCTTCCATCTCCTGGTGAGACTTTCAGGTGTCAATGTGTGATATATTTTTTCGATTTGCTTGGAGTGACTTATGTGAATATTAGAATTGTTATTCGGTATCAGGGTCTCTTCTCTGACCACTTGGTTTGGTGGTTTTGTCCATCTCTACAGTTTTTTAATAGGTGTCCATGTGCCGCAAAGGTTTGGCAGCTGAACACGGGCTCAGTCTCTCTCTTTCTCGTTCACTCACTCTCTCTCTCTGTCCTGTATCTCACGCGGTCTGGTAGAAGTTGTCAGCTTGCAGGTTGTTGTGTTTCTGCATGCTGTAGTAACCGCTGTATCTTGAGTCAGGATCTGCAATGCGGAGCATGCGTTGGGAGCTGTCCACCTGGACCTTCGTCCCCTTCTGGCAGTCCACATACACCAGCTGGTTATTGAGACATGTGGACTATACAGGACAAAAAAAAAAAACACAGTGAGTCTTGGACCATGGAGAGAATTTTCTCACACTTATGCAGCAAAATGCTGGAATACACTACACTACTTTTGCCTAGATTTTTGTTCCGATTTGCAATCTTGTGGAGTCAATGCTGGGTGACAGATTTATACAGAAAATCACATAGTTTATCAAGGGCACAGACATTTTTTCATTTGTCATGCATCTCCTGCTAATGAGGAGCATGTTTCCGTGCAAATTTGTTGTGTTCGGACCAACTTGAAAGTCTGGTAGTGTGTGATCCTCGTTTAGTGTATGATGGCCAGTGTTTCTCTGTAACCATTTAAAAATTCAGCAAAAGTATGATGCCTAGTGCTTTAAAAATCTGTTCCGATTTTAAAAGTTGTGTAGTGTATTCTAGCCTTAAGTACCATTTTTGGTAATTAAAATAAAGTTGACAAAAAAATATATAAACTTACAAAAGTTTAATCGTAATTTGAAATCGCAATTCTGCATCCTATTTGGTACAATAATTCAAAATGTGATTGTATCCATGTAGTAATCTGTGACATATAGGTAGGCACCTTATTGGGAGTGCGGTAACAAGGCACAGGGATCCACTGCTTACGCTGGTTGACCAACAGCAGGGCGGCGATAGTGAGCATCATCATTAGGATGGGCAGTGCCACCCAGGCCCAGTGCAGACCAGCATCCTCACTGGGTAGTGGTGCCTTGCCGTCTAGGTAGGGCATCTGCAGACTTCCGAAGTCACCTGAAACAACCCACAACACACCTGTTGGCACATTTTGCACCTGACAGCAGTGACTCATTGAGCAACGACTCACTGGGGCGATGTAGAACAATTCAGAATTGAAACTGAAATGCAAGTACGGCTTGATTGTAAAAGCAGGTAATGTCAGACATCCATGTCAGCAATTAAGGCAAATGCCAGAGTCTTGACAGACATACACCCACTCACATCAGCCTTAACAAAAGCAAAACATGGAAAATCAAGAAGAAATTACAGATTGCTAACAGAGAAAATCAAAAAGAAACAAACAGCCAGCTTTGTGAAACTCTTGAGTGAAGTTTGATTAAAATTACTTCAGAAGTTACAGAATTTTCTTGCTAACTCTGTACCACAAGCACATGAAATTGCTCAACGGAATGAAATCAGGAGACATCATAGTTAGCTATAGACATGCAAACAGCTTAACTTAAAGGTGGGGTGAGCGATTTCTGGTAGCCAATGTTGACATTTGAAATCACCAAAACAAACACGCCCCTACCCCAAAAGGGACTCGCCCCCATTTTGATAGCTCCGCCCCACACATACGTAC